ATGGTATGTAATTGTCCGGCCATGGTGTCCAGCTTTTCGGCCTTGTTCGTAGTTTATGTAAACATGACTCACAGTTCTTGGCTGTTGCGTAAATGTCTGTGTCCAACTCCGGCCACCAACACATCTGCCGAGCCAATGATTTCACCTTCTCCACCCCCATATGTCCTTTATGCAATTCTTCTAGTACCGTCTTCCGTAGTAGCGGTCAATCGTCACGACACAGTACACCATCCAATTGTAGTGACAACTCCTCTAAGTGAGCAAAGAATTGAGGATACTTTATCTTTACCTCTGGTGACCACCCTTTCTTGATCACCGAGAGTATGGCCGAGTAGTACTGTTTGGTAGATTTGCGTAAAGATTCCTGAGATACTGGTGATTCTGGGGAGATGAAATGACACTGTTCGGCCTCAGAAAATCGTGAGTAGCGAGAGAGGAAATCAGCCTGCAGGATCGTCTTTCCTGGACGATGTTGGATGTCATAGTTGTACGCTGCTAGAACGATACTCCACCTCTGTAGTGCAGCAGCAGTGGACTTCGCGATGGATTTGTTGGGTTTGAACAAGAACTGCAGCGCTTGGTGATCAGTGATGACGGTAAACTGCAATTCGAAAAGGTACTTGTGCAGTCGTCGAACAGTACAGCCAACGCTTCTTTTGAGTCTGTGAGTATCTTTTTTCTGCCGCATTGAGTAGACAGGAAATGTAGATCACTGGGCATCATTCTTGTTTTAATACGGCATCGATTCCGACGTCGGATGCATCGGGGATGAGTGTAGTAGGTTTTGAAGGGGAAAACGGGGTCAGGATGATCAGTAACGCAGCGAATTAAACCACGTAAGATATCTTCACACTCCACCGAACATTCCCAAGCGTCTGAACACCGAGCACGGAAGAGCGGCTGCGCCCTTGTAGCAAAGTTAGGGATAAATCGGGAATAGTACTGTAGGCATCCCATCACGGATCTCAAATGCGTTTAATCCTTTGGAGATTCGATGTTACTCAATGGTTTGAAACGTGTCGAATCGGGGCGGTATCCACGGGAATCAACTGTGAATCCTAGAACCTCCAACGCGCTCACTCCAAAACACAATTAAACGGCTTGATAGCCACGTTCCTGGCGGCAAATTGTTCCAGTATCTGCTTCAGACGGGATTCGTGTTCTTTCTTTTTAAGGCCGAAAACGAGGACGTCATCTTGATATGCAAGCATACCATCGAGTACTTTGATTGCTCTGTCCATTGCCGATTGAAAGAGGCTAGACGACATATGCAATCCGAATGGGAGAAAATTGTACTGGTACATTTCCCACGGCGTGGTGGTGTTGTCAAGTAGCAAGATTCGACATCGAGTGGAATCTGTAGGTATGGGTCCGCCAAATCGATCTTGGAAAAATACTGGTAACCATGCAATGACTTCATGGAATCCTCTGGTTCCATGTTGGTCGTTACACATCTCCGCAATCTGGGATTCAACGTCAGTCGATAGTCTCCAAATCCGGGGTGTCCTACCATCACTTTTCATTGCCCAGGCTCTGGATTCAACTTTGCTTTTTACATCATCCTGCTCCATTTTCTGTAACGCTTTCAAGATACCCTCCCGTTGACCGTATGCAGAACGCGTCGTTTTAGGAAAATAGGTTCGCCGTCTACTTCCAACTTTACTGACGGTGATTTCATACTACCAACGTTACCCGAACACTGCACAATCAAATTTTGAAGATGTGAGGTGATTGGCATATCGTCGTTGGTATGTAGTGTGATTGATCCTTGTAGTAGCCGCATTGCTCGCAGGCCCAGAATAGACGGACTGTGGGCTAATACCAGGAATCGGATTGGGATTGACACACCGGATTCAGATTGAACGCACAACATCGTTTCGACAAGTAATTGCAAATGATGGCCAGTAACCCCATGGATGCGCACAGAAGTCGGGGCTAGAACAGCATTATGACAAATCGCAGTGAGTGCTGATTTCGGTAGGATAGATTCGCTGCTTCCTGTGTCCATGATGAATCGATGCTCCACACCGGACTCGAACCAAGGTGGGGCGAACACAAACTGGGCGTTGGGTTCAGTGGTCTGCAGCGTGTAGATTGGGCTTGAGTTCTCATCTGCCGTTGGGATATGGGAATCGACAAGGATGCACATGATCATTCGGCATACCTTGAGGATATAGCCCATCTTACCGCATGCATGGTTTGACGGTTTTCGAAAGCTTCTGTACACAATACTTTTCCAATTCTACTATCTTCCTTTCCTTAACTCTTCTTTCTCTTTCATGAACTCAACATTTGATAGTTGTTTTTGCCGGCCTCCTTATCACCCGCTCGGTATCTTCGCGGTCTCGCTCCGTGATTTTCTCAATTCTTTTTTGTTCTGTAACTGTGACCTACAATGGTTTCGTCAGTCGCAAACATGTACTGATGTATGCATATAACAGAAACGAAATTTCAACTGTCGTTCAACTGTTTTCCTCCGTGCTGGAAATTTGTTCAGTCGAGGTCGAGATATTGCGATTCATATTTAACGTAGTTTGGGTTGCCGTTACAGTTTGAAACCTTGGTCAAATTACGTTTGGTGAGCTCTTATACATTCTCCTTCTTTGTCTTCAATGTTTTGTTCCTAAATTAAACTTAATGTTGTTTCAAGCTGGTCAATCAACCTCAGTTAGACTATGCTCCTCAGGAAAGAAAGAAGTACAAGAAACCACCACCAAAAAGGGCTCAGAGGCTGTGCCATCATTGGGTGAATCACATCGCGGT